TTTTAAATTTCATATTATATTAGTATTTTTATAAATACTCATATATATAGAAAACGGAGGGAACTATAGAAAATATATGTGTATTTTGTTATTGTAGAAAGTATTTTATACTTGTGGTTTGGGTTTGATGTTTCTATATTCATTGACGAAGCGAAAACAAGTTTATTGGCTTTGTGTAAAATTTGTCATTATGTCAAAATTCGTCATACACTCAAGTCAATAACATCCGTATAGAAATATTTAGTATATACAGATGTGCATACGCCCGTTGAAGGTGAAAAAATCGGAATAAGGAACGATATCTTCTAAAGCTTCAGAGCTAGATACTTATAATAATGATTCATATAATATAATATAAACCTCCTCTAAGAAGTTGACAAGCTTTATGCTACTTTGGAGACGGAGATATTTAAAAAGACCAGTATATATGTATATCCATTTAAAATTTATATTTTACTACATATATATAGTTCTTCATTCTAGATTTTCGTGTCAAGTAAAGAACTGAACTTGAAACGACATTGCAACTTTTATTGAATAGGTGTATATGTGTTTGGTTTACGATACAAGTATGATGCATCTCTCGTTTCACATAAAATGTGCTGCCTAGAAAAATAAAAAACCTTTGCTTTGTTAGGTGAGACATTATACTAACAAATATGGGATTACTAATGGTTATAGTAGAGACCTCTTCAATTTCAATTTTAGTTATAATTTTGTATTTATTTACCGCTACTCGATTTTCCCCTTTGAAAGCTTACAAGGAGAAGCCCTAAGCGAACCGGAAATCGCCTTTTGCCTTTGACAATTACCCTTGGGTAATTTCTTCCTGGAACTAGAAAGTTGAAGTCAACTATTTCTGCTTTGAGGAATTTTTTCCGTATTCTGAGAAGCGAGAAACATAAGCGAAAATTCCTTGAGCTCCCGAAAAGTATTTGAAATTACTTTTACTATTTTTGTTTTTTTTTTTTTTTTTTTTTTTTTTGTTTTAGATTTAATTATATTGAGGATACTAGTCATTATGGATGGAAATTCTGAATTAGATAAGTTAATTTTCGCACACCCTAAAGCATACTATGCTATGCTATGATGACTGTCTAGGACTGTAGCAGTTGCTAACGATAGTTATAAAAGGATCATCAGTAGAATATATATTATACACATATGTTGAGAATTTACTGCAGTCGGACACACCCCTGGTATCAATTTCAGTTTACAGAGTATCGTTTGTAGAGTTCTCAGATAAATGAATCTATGCGATAATGGAAAATTGCAATTTCTAGGTAACGGCAAAAACAACGTGCAAAAGGAATGCGAAAAAAAAATGGGAACTGAACGGCTAACGACGCCGACTGCGACTGCGACTGCGGCTGTGATGTCCGTAACTGTAAATGCAATTGCGTGTGGGCGCATGGCCAAGGACGCAGTCGAGAGGATGCGAAATTCAATGGGCATGAATAGAGGCATAGCGAAAGAGCAAGACATAGGCCAGGGGCCAGGGGCGTGGGGCAAGCGGCAAGGGCAAGGGGGCAGTCCAGGGTTAGGTATGCTGCGTGCGACTGACAGTTGCGGACATTTTAATTAGTTATTTTTGTGCTGCTTTTTCGTATTTTTTCTTTTTTTGCTTGTTGGCTGCATTCGAGTTGCGCCTAAAAGCGCGCTGCAAAAACAAAAAACAACAACAACATGAATTGCCGCACTCACACACACGCACGCACACATAAACATATGACGGACAAACTTAACAGGAACTCACACACACACCCACACACACACACACAGACAGGGACACAGCGAGATAAAGGAGGAGAGAGCGAGAGCGAGGTAACGCGCGCATAAGCTAAAATTCTATGCAATGCAAATGTTTTTTTGTTTTTTGGTTTGTTTTTGTCTTCTGGCTTTTAACTAATATTTTGAATGCTTACCGCTGTCGGCGCTGACGCTGGCTTCTGCTGCGCTGCCGCTGCTGCTGTAAATACTGTCTGTGATTTCTTGTTTATATTTTCTGGTTTGGCATTTTGTTGTTTTTATTATTGTATTTATATTTTTTTGGTAATTGCTGCAACACATGAAAAAATTGCAAAAAAAAAAAAATAGCAACACTCGGAAATAGCAAGAAAAAGTTGCTTTACGCTATTTATTTACACGCAACACGCGAAAAAAAAAAAAACAAAAAATCTGTTATTGTTTTTTTTTTTTTTGTTCTTTGTTGTAACAATAAGGAGAGCAAGCAAGGCCTAGGAAGCTGCTCGTGGTGTTTGTTATTGTATTTGTTATTTTATTTGTTGTTCTTGCTGTTGTTTGTTGGACTCGGACTCGATTTCAGAATTGTAAAAGAGGCAACTTTTTCTTACTACTCCTGTCAATGTTTTGTTTATGGCACTGGGCAGAGAGAGTTGCGCGCGCTTTCGCATCCGCCTCGCACGAGTGTCGTTGATGGACTGAACTTGCGTTTATTTACACGATGACGTTGTCGCCAGCCGCATGAGCTTTTTGGCTTCAGCTTCAGCCCTATACGCTTTGAAAAGCTCTACAAGTGCGACAGCAGCTGCTGTGAGTGTGTGAGAGTGTTTTGTGCTTACGAACAGTCGCGTCCAGCGCAATAGTGCGTGTTTAGAAAGGCTACATATGACGTTAAATATTAAACATATAGTATTATTTATCTTTTCTTCTATAAGAATAATAGGTATTTAGTATTTAGTGCTTATCCTGCAACAACACCATATATTATAATAATGTAATAATACTGGATAGCTATATTATTAGTCTACTTTTTCGGGCTGCATCGTGCAGAGCTGCCGCGTTAGCTTCGCCGTGTACATGTGTGTGTTTGTGAATATGTGTGTGTTTCATGTTTTTGTTTGGTTTCTAAAGCTGGCGCTAGCCAAAGCTTGGCTGCATTCAAGGCAGCAAGGGTTTTGGTACAGGTGCGAGCGAGATGCTGCACGTGCTTTTTGACATTAGTGTTGAGCAACGTGTGAAAGCACGTGAGCAGGCAAATTACCGCCTTTACAGCTGCTGCTGCTGCTTCTGCCAAACAGATTATTCTTACTATAATACAAATACATACACATATACACATATAGCTATACATGCAGATATAAATATATATGTATGCGTGTCTAGTTGCGTAAAGTTGGTTTATTCATCTCTTGTTGCTGCTGATGCTGTTGACCTTACCTCGCCACATATATACATATATGGTAATAGGTCCAAGAATCAACAACAATACCGTTACAGTCAACTCGACAGGATTACACATTTAAGCTTTTGTGCCAATTGGCGTCATTGTTTGAGGTTATGTATGCGTGCTGCCGAACCGAAGTGCGCTCGTCGTGTCCTCGTCCGTCCTCCCCTTTGACCCTGACAATGAGCGCCTTGCTATGTATTCATTTAATTTAATTTGTATCAGCTTAAGCTATTTAACGACCAGCGCAACAAAACGGAAACGGAAAGGAATCACCCCACATTCCCAAACACATAGTGTGTGTGTAAGAGAGAGAGAGAGAGAGAAAGAGAGAGAGAGAGAGAGAGAGAGAGTGGCGAAGGTGGCAGCGGCTGCGGCGGCGGAAGTCTAGTCATGCGCTTATTGATGTGTGTGATGTGACTCTTGTCTAGCCAGCCAGATCGTGTGCCACAGCCAAGAGTTTGTACAGTGACAGGGGCAGGGACAGACACGGTCTGTTGTTTGCATTGCTTTAAATATACGCTTTTTTAGGAGAAAAAGAAACGTAAGTGGATTAAGCTTTGCTTTGCGTTGGCTTCAGGGACACGCGAGCGAGTACACGACTTATATACTTACAGAAGGTTAAGACTATGTCAGTGTCAGCGCAAGGTAAATACAAAGCACAGCAAATATACAAAAGACAAATGTAAATACGTTTTGAATTGCGCGCGTTGATGGTACTGAACACAAGTAGTAATATCGATAGGCACGTGTGTGCGATTAGTGCGATTAGCTTTAGCTGTATGTGCCATTTTTTAGCGCTTTGCCAATATGCAAATATTCATAATTAAAACATTCAAGTTAGGCAAAGCTTTAAAAATGTATACAACAAGATAAGTATTACACTCATATTTATTATAATTCATTTATTTTAAAATTATGCGCACAGCTTGATAGAACATCATGAATCGATAGTTGAGCAATATGTGGAATAGTAAAACATGATTGTGTATAGGCACTAACTTGGTATAGGCGCTTTTCCTGCTGCAATTTAGGTTAGGTAAGTGAGAAACTTGTGAGTGATTAACTCGATAGGAGAATTATTATTAATATATAATTCAACAAATAGCTAAAGGCTGTTCGTTTGAAATTACGCGCCCAGTTTGACCGTTCGATAGTACAACAATCGATAGCTCAATAACATGTGCGAGCAATCAGCTGGTTGTGTCGTTTTTTAGCACATTTTTTGCTGTCGGCTTGCACAACGATTTTCAGGTGTTAACAAAATAATTTATTAAATTCGCTCAATTCTAACAAAAATGAGACTAACAAACGTGCTATTCAAGAAAGTCAAGAGCAAGTAAGTGATTAACTGTCATTTGGCAAAATTATGAGCAGCACTCATAGAACATTCTATCAATCGACAGGCGCATCATGGTGCTGATGGAGAGCGTGGTCAGCGGGCATCAGTTCAATCTCTTCCGTGAGCGGCTCGCAGATAAAATAGAGCTGATTCGCTTCGATCCGTATAGTGAGTGACATATACTTCAGTTCGCTACCTACTGAAATACTAATTATCATTATTTCTGTCTTCTAGTACAAAAGGAGAGCTTATATCGTGAGCGCAAGAGAATTCGCAGCGCTTAAATCGTTCTGCTGCTCCAGGGGCTTCTCTAGTGTTCCATTCTTTTCCTTGATATATATATGAATATATGTGTGTATGTAGTCGGTATGTCATATATATATATATATGTATGCACTGCATTAAAGTTCATTTTCTTATAATTGTTAATTTTCTGTTGTTTGAATCAAAGTTCTCATAGTTCCATTGCCTTTTATAAGCAAATTTTTATAAGACCAGTGGAGCTATTCTTATGCTATCTGAATATGGGTTATAAGATTAGCTCTTTTGGTCTAATAATTGTCAATCTGAAAAAAACTCATAAATGAGGAACACCATGTACATTTTTTATAAAAAAATACTTTATTTTTCATTCGCGTTGGACACACTTCTTTAGAAGACATTTTGATTTGTTGAGTTGAGTAGAGTTGGCATTGCTGGAATTATAAGTACCGACTAGCATACAAAAGGGTCTTCATAGTGAATTACAGGATATGTGTGTGGAGTACAATTATATTATTCATTTAGTGCAGTGGAGTACAATAGATCAGGTCAGAATGTGTGTGCGATTAACACGGTGTATTACAAAGTGTGCGGTAGTGTATGAGGGTGTATGGTTAGTTGTTACAGTTACAGTTAACGAGGATTGTTTAGTGTGCTTGATTAACGCGGAGAATCACAGCGCATGTTTGACTTGGTGTAGTGGTGGATGGGCTAGCTGCAGCCATTTATAGATATATTTATATTTGGGTTTACTTGAAGGGCTTCTCGGTCATGAGTAGTCCGCGCTCCCAGAGGGCCGTGGCCACCTCGATGCGGCGGTCAGCGCTGCGCAGGGGCAGCTTGCCGACCTTCAAATAGGCCGGATAGGTGGTCATCAGGGCCTCGACGGCGGGCGCCTCAGTGGGCTGGATTTCCATGTAGTTGGGCTCGTTCTTGCAGTACTCGAGAGCGTTGTCCACGTAGTAGTAGACGCGCAGGCTGCTGCCGTCGGCCACCAGGCGCAGGATGTTGGCGCGTAGTAGACGGACCTTGGTCTTCTCGGTCAGCTCGTAGTCGCAGAGGCACTGGCCGCGGCTATCAGTCATGCTGCGCGACCCAAAGACGGTGCGCGCGCTCTCCTCGGGCTTGATGCAGGGCGGCAGCGCCTCGTGCTGGAAACGCTTGGCCAGCTGATCCACGGCAGCGTCGATCTGGGCGTCGGTGGGCACCAGGTAGCGCTGGATGAGTTGCTTGGTGTCATTCATGAGCTGGTCGCGCTGCTCGCTCTGCTGGCCGCCCTTGGCCAGGCCGACGTGCTGCCAGATGTGCAGCGGCAGCCCGCGACGCAGCGAAAGATGATGCTTGATGGCGCGCTCCAAGACGGAGGGCATCAGCACCTCCAGTAGATTGGCGTACGCCTGCTGCTGATAGACGCTGAGAGTGATGTGAAGCGAGTGCTGCTTCGGTTCGGTGACGGCCTGGTGGACGGTGCCGCGAGGGAAGTAGAGAATGTCGCCCGCCTCGAGGACGGCGTCGAAGAGCGGCTGGCCCAGCTCCTCCTGCTTGTAGTTGCCGGAGGAGGTGCGTGCCAGCACGTCGGACTGGCGCGGTGGGGCGTACAGGCGCCAGCGCTTGCGGCCCTCCACCTGGATCACGAAGGCTTCGATGTCGTCGTAGTGTGGCGCGAATCCCTGGCTGTTCGGCGGAGTCAGATAGACGTTTGCCCCGACGAGGCAGTGGAAGAACTCCTGCATTGTGCTGCACAGCTGGCGCAGCTTGGGCAAATAGGTGCTCGGGTTCAGGATGCGGATGCTGCACCCATCGCCGTAGTAGCCCCAAATGGCTGGGGACATGGCGCGGCCCACCGGATTCAGGGTCTGGCGCACGCCCTTCTTATAGGTGGTCACGTCAATGTTGGTGGTGAACTCCAGTTGGTTCTCTATTAGCATCTCGTCGATCATCTGGAACGAGATCAGCTGGTTGAAGTAGTTCGGCTGCTTGCGCTTCACTTGGCATGCATTGCGCTCCCAGTACTGCTCGAAGAAGGTCTCCGAGGTTATCGGATTCAACAGCCAGTTCAGCATGCGTTTGCCCTCCTCGATGCTGTTCTCCAAATGCACCGGACCACGTAGCTTCTCAGTGCCGGTCACCAGCTGTGAAACGTTCGAGCTCAGCTTGTTCTTGTTGTTGTTATCCTTGTTGTTGTTGGCATCGTTCTTGTTGTTGATATCCTTGTTGTTGTTGGCATCCTTGATGTTGTTGGCATCCTTCTTGTTGTTGGCATCCTTCTTGTTGTTGATATCTTTGTTGTTGTTGGCATCCTTGTTGTTGTTGGCATCCTTCTTGTTGTTGGCATCTTTCTTGTTGTTGGCATCCTTCTTGTTGTTGGTATCGATGTTGTTGTTATCGTTGTTTTTGTTCTTGCTGCTTGACTTGCGCGACGGGGCCGCCATTTTGTTGGCCATCTTGTCGGCCGGAGCACTGGAGAGGCGGCACGACTTGGCACCGGTTTTGGTCAGAGATTCGCGGCTGCTCAGGCGGCACTTGTTCGGCACGGGCTTGGCAGCCGGTGCCTTGGGTGGCAGCGGACACGACTTGATCATTGTCTTCGATGGACGCGGCGGCAGCGGGCACGATGGCGCCGGCTCGGCGCGCTGCTTGCCCACCTGGGCTTGCTCCTGCTTCAGAGACATCTTCGGCTGCTTGGCTGCAGTCGGCTTATTCTTATTGTTGTTCATGTCAAAGGGCTCGTTGCGCTTGGCTGCTTTGCGTGGCTCGGCTTTAATCGGATTGGCGCTGCTGCTGCTGGTGCTGTTGAAAATGCTGCTCAGCGTGTATTCCTCAGTGAATTGATCTTCGCTTTGAGTTGTACCGTTATGCATGTAGCTATTACCGTTAGAGTCGCTCCCTTGGCCAACCGCCATTTTGGAGTCCATACCGAAATACTCACAACTGGCGCAGCTGCTGGCAGCGGCATCGCTGTCATCGAAATCATTCGAGTCGCCATCGCTGTCAAAGTCAAAATCGCTACTGTTGCTATAATCGAAGCTATCGCCACTGCCGCTCATGAAGCTGTCTTCAGTGGAGCCGAAATCGCTGCTGTTTAGGAAATCGCTGTCGATACCCGAAAAACTGCCGTTCGAGCTGCTCATTTTAGCGGCCTTCGGCTTCTGGTGCTGTTTGCCGTTTGACAGATTGAGCAACGTGCCGTTATTCTGCTGTCCATTTTCTGGTTGCTTCTGCACATTTTCTGTCACCCCAGCAGCTGATTTCTCTGCTTGCTCTTTAGCTATATTCTTCTCTCTCTTTGCAGCTTTCTTAGCAGCTTTCTTTGCTGCTTTGGCTGCGGCTTTATCTTCGGCTATATTTGCGGCTTTGTCTGCCGCGGCCTTTCGTTCTAATTTTCTTACCTCTCTTAGAGCCGCCTTTGCAGCTGCCTTTCGAGCTTCCTTCTTGGCCGCCATAGCTTCTTTAGTTTTCTTTGCAGTCTTCTTTGAAACATGTTTCGCTATCTTCATTGTGGAACGCTTCGATGTCTTCTTTGGCGCTAGACCGTAAGCGGCGTACGCTGATATGCGGTCCATTTTCAGAAAATTTTTATTTCGAGAAATTTCACAAAATTTTTTTTTTTTTTTTTTCTGTGACTTGTTACAAACTTTACACAATTCTGACAAATCTGAATTTCTCTCTGAACGAAAGGCACACGTGCTACCCGGCGAACTGTCTATATAAATATCGATGTTACAATATATATCATAGTGCGTGTATCGATGATGTTCTTCGACAGATTGAATTAAAAATAATCAAATAATTGCGATAACTTCATTTTTTTTTTTTTTTTGGTAAAATTACCACTTTCATTTTAGTAGGTGCAGTAATGCATTTGAATACATAGCTAAAAAAAAACAAACAAACAACAACAACAACAACAACACTTCATTAAAGACTTTACCAAGCAAAATAAAACGTGTGTGGGCCACTAAATAAGCGCATATCGATATCTTTTTCACCCATTACCCTGCATGCAAATGCGTGTTATCGATAGGCAAATGCCGGCTGTTTTAGTTTTGTTTATTTGCGAAATTATTGCGCCATGTCGGACGCAACCGAAGTGGCGACAACTGAAGTAGATGAACAGCCAGCGCCCGCTCCGCTGCCAGAGTCCAATGACACCCTGGAGGACGAGGAGCTGGCCAATCTGGTCACAGCAGAGGAATATCTGATGCGCAAAGATGTCCAGCTGCTGGAGTACGAGAAGCAAATGTTTCTCGACCTGGTGCACGCCGACGGCCTGCTCGTAGCAGCCAAGTAAGCTGTAGAGTCTGCTCCACTGCAAATCGCAGCTAATTCGCTCTTTACTCCGCAGAGGCCTGAGCTATGAGCGCGTGCTGCTGCACATCCTGAAGGTCTACAGCGACGCGGGCAATCTGCTGCTGGTGATCAACAGCGCCGACTGGGAGGAGCAGTATTACAAGTCCAAACTGGATGCCAAATACGTGCACGAGGTGGCCAACACGGCTACCGAGCGGTAGGTGGCGCTTCTTGATGTCCAATTGCTCCTAATATGTCTCTCTTGCCTGCAGCGAACGCGTTTACCTGGAGGGCGGCATTCAGTTTATATCCACGCGTATCCTCGTGGTTGATCTACTCAAGCAGCGCATACCCATTGAGCTGATAACGGGCATCATCGTGCTGCGCGCCCATAGCATCATCGAGAGCTGCCAGGAGGCGTTCGCCCTGCGGCTCTATCGCCAGCGCAACAAGACGGGCTTCATCAAGGCCTTCTCGAGCAGCCCGGAGGCCTTCACCATTGGCTACTCCCACATCGAGCGCACCATGCGCAATCTGTTCGTGAAGCAGCTGTACATCTGGCCGCGCTTCCATGCCACAGTGCGGGCCGCACTGCATCCGTGGCAGGCGCAGACCATCGAGCTGCACGTGCCGCTCAGCGCGCGGGTGAGCGCCATCCAGACCCACATACTGGACATTATGAACTTCCTGGTGCGCGAAATCAAGCGCATCAATCGCACCGTCGACATGGAAGCGGTCACCGTGGAGAACTGTGTCACCAAGAAGTTCCACAAGATTCTGCAAGCCCAATTAGACTGCATTTGGCATCAGCTCAACTCGCAAACCAAACTCATCGTGGCCGATCTCAAAATACTGCGCAGTCTTATGATGTGAGTGAACTAGGACGGGGCTTACAGATAGAAAGAGATATACCATGTTTTCTACAGGCAGGAATTGTAAGGCAATGGGATAGATTCGACCTATCAATCAGACTTTGTTGGTCCATCAATTTGCCAGTTAATCAATGAATCAGTCTATCAATCTCTTAATCAATAGGAAATACTCTGTGTATTAATCTTCTACTCTATGAATCAACTAGTCTATTAGTCAATCGGAGTTACTCAGTCAATCATTCAGTTAATTAACCAATCATTTTGCCGGTCAATCAATTATATAGCCAAAAATGATATTTAATTTAATCAGATAAAGTCTTTCAGTCAGATAATCTACCAGTCAATCGTTAGCTTTGTGTCAGTCAGTCAGTCAATCAAGCAGGTAGACGGTCATCAATCAATCTGCCAAGGATGAATTAATCAGTACATCTTTAATCAGATTTTGTTATCAATCAGTTAGCCAATGTCAATCAATCAGACTTAGACAATCATTCAATCATATAGTACATCTCAGTCAATCAGTCCGTTATTCATCGGATAATCACTTAGTCAATCAATCAGTCAGTCAATGTCAATTAACCAGACATAGTCAATTAATTCAGCTAGTACATCTCACTCAATCAGACATAGTCAATCAATTAATAAGCTAGTACATCTCCGTCAATCATTCATCAGTCAGTCCCTTAGTCAATCAATTAGTTAGTCTCAATCATCAATTAGTCATTCAGTCAGTCAATCAGTTAGGTATAGTTAACAATCAGTCAGTCAATGTCAATCAACCAGACATAGTCAATCAAATAATCAGTCAGTCACTTAACCAGTCCGTCAGTCACCATATAGTCTCTCAGTCAGTCAATCAATCCAGTCAGTCAATCAATCCCCTTCAATCACACACATCTAACACAGTATTATCTCCCCAGATCCACAATGTACCACGATGCCGTCAGCTCGTACGCCCTGATCAAGCGCTACCGCAGCACAGAGTACGCCATTAGCAACTCGGGCTGGACGCTCATGGATGCCGCCGAGCAGATATTCGTGCTCTCCAAGCAGCGCGTCTACAATGGACAGAATGGTGAGCTCGCTGTCCATAAATCGTGGCACGCCACCTATATCTCTCTCTCTCTCTCCCACGCACAGAATTCGAGCCGGAGCCGTGCCCCAAGTGGCAGGCGCTGAGCGAGCTGCTCACGCAAGACATACCCGGCGATATGAGTCGTCGACGAGGCGCCGACCACCTGGACCCGCCCAAGGTGCTGATACTCTGCCAGGACGCGCGCGCCTGCTACCAGCTGAAGCAGTACCTGACCCAGGGCAGCGCTCGCTATCTGCTGCAGCAGGCGCTGCGGCACGAGGTGCACGTTGGCAAGCTGAGCGACGAGTTTGCCAAGCAGAGTCAAGGCGCCGCCATGGCGGAGTCGACAACTAAGGCGGACGTCAAGGTGGAGCCGGACACTCCGGCTGCTGCTCCTCCAGCAGCGCCCGTGCTCGACGAGCTCTCTCAGCTGCTGAGCGAGACGGATGCGGAGGCCCAACTGCAGCAGCAGCTGTTCGAGGAGAGCTACATGCTCACCATGACCCAGGCCGCGCCCAACGATCCCGATCCGAATGCCTCGATCTTTGAGATCATACCCGAACTGGAGCAGTTCGATGTGTCGGCGGCACTGGCCGCCCATCGACAGCCCTGCATTTGCCTGCAGACCTTCAAGACGGAGCGCGAGGGCTCCATGGCCCTGGAGCACATGCTGGAGCAACTGCAGCCGCACTATGTGATCATGTACAACACGAATGTGACGGCCATACGGCAGCTGGAGGTCTTCGAGGCGCGTCGCCGCCTGCCGCCCGATGACCGCATGAAGATCTATTTCCTAATCCATGCGCGCACCGTCGAGGAGCAATCCTATTTGACCAGTTTGCGTCGCGAGAAGTCCGCCTTCGAGCTAATCATCGAAACGAAGAGTGTGAGTGAAAGAGATAGAGAGAGAGAGAGAGAGAGAGACGGAGAACGAGAGAGAGCACTTAGATACCAGACGAGAGAAATTAGAGCAGAGAATATAGAAGATGTAATAGAAAAGATTGGCTGAGGGTAAAGTGAGGGGAAAGAAATCGGAAATGTCTGGGAGAACTGGTTAGAGCGAGAAGAGGAATAAAGAGGAAGAGAGAGAGAGGGAGAGAGGAGAGGACGGACAGATTGTATTAAAGAGGAATTTTAATTTTTTACATCTTTATAGAGAGTGAAATTAAGAGGAGAAAGTTTTATTTCGAATACATGAGAAGCGGGGAGAAAGGCGGAAATTAAGAATAATTGTAATTAAACAGCTCAAAGAAATAATTTCAAAATAGATATAATATCTTAAAAATATGTAAAGAAGAGATACGAAAATTGAGATGTATATGAGATTCGCAGAGAAGGCCGATAGTTAGAAATATGCTTTTAGATTTTCCTTGCATTCGCTATGAGATGGGAGATCATAGCTGAGGTATATGTAGATAGGGTATCTATTAGCCTGGCAATGAATGGAAGCTAACTCCGGTTTCATCTATTCCTATAGAAAATGGTCATACCAGAGTATCAGGATGGCAAGACGGACGAAGCCTTTGTGCTCTACAAGAGCTACGACGACGAGGAGCCGACGAACGCGCAGACGCGTCAAGGCGCCGCCACGGGCGTGGCATTGGCCAGTGCACGGGTCACGCCCAAGATCATCGTGGACATGCGCGAGTTTCGGTCCGATCTGCCGTGCCTGATCCATCGGCGCGGCCTGGAGGTGGTGCCGGTGACCATCACCATCGGCGACTACATTCTGACGCCGGAGATGTGCGTGGAGCGCAAGTCGATCTCGGATCTGATCGGGTCACTCAACTCGGGCCGGCTCTACAATCAGTGCGTGCAGATGCAGCGCTACTACGCCAAGCCCATCCTGCTCATCGAGTTCGACCAGAACCGGCCGTTCCACTTGCAGGGCAAGTTCATGCTCTCGCAGCAGACGACGGCCACGAATGCGGACATCATGCAGAAGCTGCAGCTGCTCACGCTGCACTTCCCGCGGCTGCGCCTCATCTGGTCGCCCAGCCCGTATGCGACGGCCCAGCTCTTCGAGGAGCTGAAGCTGGGCAAGGAGGAGCCGGATGCCCAGGTGGCCGCCGCCCTGGGCAGCGACGAGGCCGGCCCAGCGCCGGGCGAGCAGCTGCAGTATAACAACGCCATCCACGACTTCCTGCTGCGTCTGCCGGGCGTCCACACGCGCAACGTGCACGGGCTGATGCGGAAGGGCGGCAGCCTGCGTCAGTTGCTGCAGCTCAGCCAGACGGAGCTGGCCGAGCTGCTGCAGTCGCAGGAGAGCGGCAAGCTGCTCTGGGACATACTGCATGTGGCGCATCTGCCCGAAAAGGACGAGGTC